GTTGCTGGTTCAGGATTTGCCAATGCAATCGACTGGATTTTTTTCGTGGGGCGTGGTCAGAGTCTTTAGGCCCAACCCTTCCAGAAGTCTGCACTGGAGTCATAGTTACTCAGGTGGGTGTTCCCACTGTATAACTGGGCTTGAGTCATAGTTAGACATTTGTTTATTTTATTGGCTAGAGTCTGTAAGCCTCTTGTTAGTTTGAGCTAACTCTGGTTGTCTTAGTGGAGAATTTTCAAGATGGCCTTGGATTTGGTCCAAGTGCTGTCACCACATTCTCCCATCCTCCAACTCAACTTTATAAGAGCGAGGGCCAGAAATTTCTACCACAGTAGCTGGAATCCAGAGGGCACCAACAGCATAGTTGTGGGCATATACTTTGGCTCCGATGTCAAATGACCAGATTTTTCCTGTTGAATCGGGAGGTGTTTCTGCAATGTAATTTGGGTGTAAACTTTGGGTGTAAAATTGAGAATGGATTCTCCTACCCATAAGGAGTTCTGCAGGGCTTCTATTCATTGTGGCGCTGGAGGTGATATGTTGCACTAATAAGAATTTATCCATCTGGGCTTGCCAATCCCCTGGGCCCATCCATCGGGGAGGCCATAGTCTCCAGAGGACTCAGATGACCGCCTTAGCAGTGATTGTAGACATCAGAAATATCTCCAACCACTTTGAGTATGCATTGACCACGATTAAAAATGTTTGGCCTTTTACTGGTCCTGCAAAATCGATATGCACTCAGGACCATAGTGCCTTAAGGGTTTCCCATTCTTTAGCCGTGGCAGAGAGGGGTGCTGGTCTGGATTCCTGACATGGTGTGCAGGTGGCAACCCATTCCACTATTTCATGGTCCATATTAGGCCACTAGACATAGTTCCTAGCTAGTGCTTTCATCCTGACTATTCCAGGATGCCCCTCATGTAAGACTTCCACCACCTCTCGCCTTGATCTAGGGTGTATAACAATTTCTCCCCACACAACAAACAGCCCTTCAATACAGACAACTCATTATGGTGTACATAATAAGGATGCAAATTTCCCTTCAAGGGTGCTCCTGGCCAACTCACGCGGCCCAGTTACTCCACCAGTAACTGGGCTGGTGGACCACCCAGTAACTGTATGCTGCCAGAAAGACAGTCTAGCGGGTCATCCTAGGGGACAATATTGAGGGAGTGGGGTGGTCTCCTGCCAATAAGCCCAGGAGTGGTTTATGGTCAGTGGCAAGCACAAAGTCTTGCCCATAAAGATAATCGTGAAACTGCTGAACACTGGTGACTGCAGCCAGCACTTCCCTGTCCATCTTGCTGTAGTTCTGCTCGGTGGTGGACAAGGTAGCAATAGATGCTTCGCTGTCATTGGGCATCTGGTGGCTGAGGACTGCCCCAACCCCAAATGGGGATGTGTCACAAGTCAGCACCAGGGGCAGGATCTCGCTGTAGTGGATGAGCACACTGTCAGATGACAAAAGTTGCTTCACAGCAGCAAAAGCAGCAGATTCAGCCCAACCCCAGGTCCAGGAAGCCTTCTTTCCCAGCCTATGCAATGGTTCCACCACAGTTGCCTTCTGTGGCAGGAACATACTGTAGAAATTCAGCAAGCCTAGGAATGCTTGCAACTCAGTTTTGTTTTTGGGAGTGGGAGCATCTCTGATTGCTGCAATCTTATTTTTTGTGAGGTGAATCCCTGAACTGTTGATCAAGTAGCCCAGGAATTCTATTTTTGGCACCACTGACACTCCTCTCACTTGACTTTAAGTCTGGCTTCCCTAAATCTCATTAGGACAGTTTTTAAATGGTCGAGGAGGACCTTTTTGTTTTTGGCGGACACCAGGACATCATCAAAATAGGGTACTACCCTGGGAATGCCCTGAAGCAACCGTTCCATGATACCTTGGAACAATCCTGGTGCCACACTCACGCCAAATTGTAATCGACAGTACTTGAAGGCACCTGTATGGGTGACAATTGTCTGTGCCTCAGCTGTACTGTCATCAACTGGCAACTGTTGATAAGCTTGTGCCAGATCAAGCTTGGCAAATGTTTTTCCCCTTTGTAGTGAATGGAGCAATTGCTGAATGATGGGAACCAGATAGGCACTCTGCTGCAATGCCTTATTGATTGTGTATTTGTAGTCTTTGCAGATGCGGACAGATCCATCAGACTTAATAGGTGTTACTATAGGGGTTTCCCAATGGACGTGATCGACTGGTTGAAGGATTCCCTGGCCAATTAACTTATCCAATTCTTTGTCAATTTTGAGTTTGAGGGCAAGAGGGACCCTTTGTGGTTTGATTCTAATTGGGGCAATATTTGGGTCTAGGCCAGTGATGGCAAACCTTTTCGGCACCAAGTGCCCAATCTGGAACGCGTGTGCATGTGCATACATGTGTGCATGCCGGAGCACCAGAAACCCAAAGACCAGCTGGCTGGTGTGCACATGTCTGTTTTTGGCCATTTTGGGGGCCATTTTCAGGCCATTTTGGGGGCCATTTTCAGAGCATTTAACTGGTCGTTTATGAGCCAAAAAATGGCCTGGGAAACAGCCTGTTTTTGGCTGTTTTCAGATGTTTTTCAGGGTGTTTTGGGAGGCATTTTCAAGGTGCTTTCAGGGTGTTTTTGGCCCAAAAAACAACCTGAAAATGCCCCCAAAATGGCCACGTGTCCCAGAAATCAGAAGAGCAGCTAGCAATAGCACACATGCCCACAGAGAAGGCTCTGTGTGCAACCTCTGACACGCATGCCATAGGTTGTCCATCACGGGTCTAGGCTGAAAGAAATAGATATTCCTTTATACTTCCCCAGGCTGTCACTGAAAACGTCCTCAAATTCCCAGATCAGCTCGTCCTCACTGTCTTCATGGATGGTGTTGATTCCTGTCACATCCATTCTCAGGCCTCGAACCAAGCCAAGCCAAGCCAAGCCGGCTTGGTAATATATCGCCAACCACGGTGATACTCAGGGGACCAGAGAACTTCCTAAACTTTATATGGAATGTTCCGCTCCCTATGACAGGGATGTGGTTTACCTGGTAGTCTTTAAGTTGCACCCTTTGGGGGCTTAGGTGTCTCTTCTTGAGTCTGGGCACAGCCTTTCTGATCGTTTCCCAAGACACAATAGTCAGGGATGATCTGGTGTCTATTTTTATGTCACAATGCGATCCTTCTATCTGGATGTTGACGTGTATCTTCTTCGCCTTAGTGAAGCTTGTTTGCCTGATGTTGGTCTGATACACATCCTTTTCCTCTGCTTGTGGGCCCTCTCTGTGCTGAGGCTTCCAGGATGTCGGTTTTCGTCTCTCTGCTGCAGTGGTTGTGGTGGTGGGAATTCTTACACACAGAATATGGCGGTCTGGCTAGCGCAGCAAACCCTTGCCAGGTGCCCCTTGCGGTCAGATCTCTGGCAGGTAGAGTCTGTGTATTTGCACGCTGCCCGGAGGTGCTTGCCCCCCCCACCCTGCACACTATTGCTGCCTTCCTTCCTCATTGGGGTAGACTTTCTTTTTCTCAGATTGAAGCCAGCAAATGTCATTCTCATCTCCAGATGACTCAATCAGCTCAGTGCTCTCCTGGTGGACAGTGGCAGGTTGGCATGAAGATGGTGTGTTTCCCGCCTTTTGTAGGGCTGCCGCTGATTTCTGTTGCTATGGCCTCTTCTAGTGTGGTCTGCAGAGTGAGGTTCGGCTTCGCTAAAAAACGCCTTTGTAAGCTAATGTCCCTCACTCCATTAATGAGTTGTTCTAGCAGTACGTCCTCTAGTTCTCGAAACCCACAGTATGCTGTGGCCTTTCTCAATGCTGCCATGTAGTGGTTTACTGTTTCGCCTTCCTCCTGCATTCTGATGTGGAACTCGCACTACCTCACGAACTTTGATTGCACTGGAGTGTGCTTGAAACGCGTTCTGAAGTGTGGCCCATGGCACTGTTTGCACCATTGCTGGTGTGACGAGTGCCCTGGCTGTCTTGAGCACTTTGGTTCCACAATAGCTGAGAAACAGCACTCTTTTTTGATTATACAATAGTCTCAGGAGGTCATTGGCCTCCAAGAAACACTTGAATCTGATAATGTACGAGTCCCAATTGTCCGTGGCTGCGTTGAACCGGAGTTGGCTGGGGTGGGCAGTCATCATGATGGCTGATGCAGGTTTTGTTCACTGCTGGCTTGGCCAGACAATGCTTCACCTGGTGGTTCTGTCCTCTGCTGGGACTGCAATCATGACTAAAGCTCTTTTTGTCTGATTGCTCTTCCGATCCTACCTTCGTCGCCAGTGTTAGATCAGGTGATGGAAGAGACAGGACACAGCTCTGACACTAACAACAGCTTTTTATTAGTAGATCAGTGCAACCCAGCAACTGGCTCATCTGACTGCTCTTCCTTTGATAGGGAACTGTCAAACGGGTCAGTGAATGGGGTTTGAGTTTTTTCCCACCGGATTGGTAGACCTGAGTGAAGCCTATGCTCCCTCCTACTTAATATTTAACAAAAATGGTCCCAGTTATAATAGGAGCACTTGGGGCTGTGATTCCTAAACTGGGAACCCAGGAACAACATGATAACTCTTGTCCAGAAGAAGAGTGCAGTGCTTGGAACAGCTAAAATACTGCACAGAACCTTTCAATTTGCAGGCTCCTGGTTAAGGGCCCAAGTTTGAGGAAGATACATATCATCCATAGAAACGAGAAGTGTGTGCGCGTGTGTGTGTGTGTGTGTGTGTACACACACACACACATGCATATTATATATATATATATATATATATATATATATATATATATATATATGTATGTATGTATGTATGTATGTATGTATGTATATGTATATGTGTGTGTGTGTATATATATATATGTATGTATGTATGTATGTATGTATATGTATATGTCTGTCTGTCTGTCTGTCTGTCTGTCTGTCTGTCTGTCTATCTATCTATCTATCTATCTATCTATCTATCTATCTATCTATCTATCTATCTAATAAAACAGCCAAATAAGAAGAGAAGAGTTACCTCTGGTCTTTGCACTTCTCCAGCTACAATTTTTCTTTCTAGTTCAATTAGTTCTATTACTTTTCTATTTAGAAGTGGTCCATTTGCTCCTCTTACAATATCTATCATCTTGCCATCCTGAAAAACAAATAATATTAATAATAAATTTAAAAAATCATCTATTCTGTTTCAGACTTAAGGCTGAATTAACTAATTTAAGCCTATATGTATTCATATCTGTCTATCTGTCTATTGGTCTGTTTCTATCACTATCTTGCATTCAGCTACTCACATATAACTTACATTCTTTCATTCATAATTCTATAGAATCAGGGAGATAACCTTGAGGGAAACATACAAGAACTGTTATATAAGCAAAGACAACTGAAACATTCCTTAAGTCCTAAGAAGAAAGGTAGTAGGGATTCAAAGCTCTTCCTTAATTCATTGGAATATAACAGATATGGAAAGTAAATACAGTCTTAAAAGATTCTATTACTATAGCCTCAATAAAGTATAATTCAATTATTTCAGTGTACAGATAGTACAACTTAGTGGCACAATTGGAAGTGGAATTTTTGTTACTTAAAACAAATGCTTAGTTGTTAAGCAAGAAGTCATTTGACCAGATCCAATTTTATGACCATTTTTGCAGAGCTGTTCATGAATCACATGGTTGTTAAGCCGATCTAGTTTCCTTGACTGGTTTTTTTTTTTTTTTTGATCACATAATTGCAAAAAATTGTAACAATCATAAATGTGTTGCTAAGTGCCCAAATTGCAATCATGAGATATGGAGGTGTTGTGATGGTCATAATTTTGATGACATATCATAAGTCAATTTTCCCGAGGCTGATATAACTTCAATTTTCAATTTGTTGTTAAACAAATGGTGGTAAGACAAGGACTACCAATAGTCTGTTTCCTGACTTGATCTAACCTGAATAGCTGACATAATTATGTCAAGGATGTAATACTCTGGAAAACTATTGGATGTCATTGAAGAGATATAGAAATTCTGATCCATTATTGTTATCTAGAAGTTGTCCAGAATTATGCAGATTTGATATTATATTCTTGCACATAAGACATAGTCAATTCAGCTCTCAGTTAACTTAATTCTGCAACTTCAGAAAAACCCATTAAAGTCAATGCAAGGCTTCTTCAATAACTAATTGTAGGAGACATGTATATATGAGGACGGATATCAGTTTGAGAGCGATCCAGCTGCTGCATGAAGAGTTAATTTTTGTTCCTACCTACTTGTAAATATCTCTTTCAAATAAGTACCCTATCCTACAATTAGTTTTGGAAAAGGAAAAAGTGGGGCATTCTACATGGAGGGAAGGAAATCATATTCACAGGGAAGGGAAAATTAACTCCCCCCCCACCCATTTCTGCTGTACTTGAAATTAAGTTGTGAAGCCAATGTTAAGTGTTCCTTTGAGGGGTTTTCTTTCTCCAAGGCTGATTACTTGCTAGTGGAGCTAAAGGAGATACTGTGAGCAATTGGGGAAGTTTGGCAGACTGTTACTATCGCCTAGGCTGGATAATCTTCACTATGGTGTAATCAGTCTGGTTTTGCAGCAGTTTAACCCAGCATGGCCAATGGTAAGGAACTGTACAAATGCAATAGAAAAGATTATTCATAACAATATACCACGAATACTTGGCAAAATCTCTATCCCAGTGCTGCCTTCTCAAATAAAAACAATACCACCTTATTCTCCAGTGGAATTTTCTGCAGCTCTAGGCTGATGGTTTTGTTTTCGTGAAAGTTTTGGCTTGGATTTTTTAAAAAAAACTATTTCAGTTAAGTAGTAAAAGTGGAGAAATCACTTAAATTGTGCAACTCTAGATCCATGCATATAAATGTTAACTTATCTGTTTGGTTAAGTAAATAAAGTTTACTTATTTATTTAGAAAATTTATATGGTTGCCCACTTACTCTCAGTGACTTGATGTGGCTTAAAAAAGTAAAAGCCCAATATATAAACAGTAAAAGCAATAACCCTTCACCCCTCCCCCAGTGGCAATAATTAATCAAACAAGCACTTGATGGACTCCATACTACTCTGGGTTCCCCATGCCCATTGGCAAAACCAGGTCTTCAGGGCCTTGCGAAAGAGTATCAAAGTGGGTAGCAGTTTGATCTCTGTGGTGTTGATGTTCCAAAGGGAAGGAACCATCACAGAGAAGGCTATTCTTCTGGATCCTGCTAGATGTACCTCCTTAGGAGAGGAGATCCACAACATTGTCTGACTCCCTGCTTTGGTGGATCAGTGCATGTAACTGAGAAGAGACGGTCCTTCAAATAACCTCATCCCAAGCCGTGAAGGGCTTTAAAAATGACATCTAGCACCTTGAATTATACCTGGAATCATTCTTTGTTTATTATTACAGGATTTTCTTTCTCTGAAATCTTTTTCGTATTGGGATTATTGTGCCAAAGGCAGGATGAAATAAGAATAAGGGCTAGGATGAAACACCAGGATATAACAATAGAAAGGGATTTGCATGCACAAATATTCTCATATACAGTTTTAGAAATACATAATACAGAAGATTCCAGCCATTTTGAATTATTGTCCTCCTTTTGTATATTTCATCATGGCTCAAGAAAATGTGTTATTACACACATTTAACCCTATGCAAAGCTCTTTTCCGATCCCCATTATGGTGCACTTACCAGACAGAAGACAAAAGCAGGTTCACATTTATCTTTAAATGGGAGCAGCGTCACCACACTATCAGCCTCTGCCTTAAATGAATAATACAAAATATATCTGCTATATTTTTTCTTCTAAATCATGTTGTACAGTAACAATTATCATATGATTCACAATTGTGGTTTATTATAGCTTTACTAGAACTTGGGCTGCAATATCTAGACCAGTAGATGGAAGCAAAGAGATATAAACTCATTCTTTGAACTATCTATTGATTGCCCTGTTTTTTTTTGTTAGTCCTACTTATTGGGTTTTGGTTTAGTCTGCTGCTTCTTTTTCTTGTTTCTATTGCAGTTCCCAATGAAAATTAATCCCATTGTAATTGCCATTAAAAAATACAAAGCTAAAAAAATGGGTATGATTGATCTACTCAAGGATAAGCAAGCTACTGTTCTACTGTTTAATTTTGCTATCCTAATCATAGTAAAACAACTTAATTACATCAGAATTCTATATAGTTCTAATTGCTTTAAATCACTTTAGATTGGATAATATATGTATGATTGTGACACATCCATTGAAATCCTTGTAAGTCTAGACTAACCTCTAGTATTTATTTCTTTAAAACCATTCACCTTCTTCTCTACAACAGCTTACTCTTTCAACTTTTTTTTTAATTTTTAATTTTTATTTCTCATAAAAACATTTACATATACATTTATCCATCATTTTTCATTCCCCTTATCTTTTAACTTTCATTTTTCATTTTTACTTTTTCGGGGCTGCTCTTTTACCATTTACCTTTACTCCAACCTTTCTTCTTCTCCTCCCCATCTCTTCCTTCCCCCTTCTCCTCCTGCTTCCTTCTTTCTTCCTCTCCTTCTCTTTCCTACTTCCCCTTCCCTTCCCCCACTCCTCTCTTCTTCCCCCTTCTACCCTTCTCTTCTACTCCTCTTTCCATTCCCTTTTCTTCCTCTCCTTTTCCCTTTCTTCTTTCTCCTCTCCTCTCTTCTCCCTTCCTCTCTCTCTACTCCTTCCCCCTCTTTCAACTTTCTCAAGTTTCAAAATCTATGTATCAATAAAAAGCCATGTTTTAGCCCAATTTAGCCCATTTCTTGTTTGTCTAAATTGTAAAGAATAGCTTTGAGTGTAGGGATATTCATTAGATGGACTAAATTTATTAAATTAGGAAGTTTAGCCAAGTTCTTTGTCACTTGATCATCTCACCTCATTTCTACAAGGCATAACATAGTTATTGTGTGTCTTTAATGAATATAACGATATTTAAATTCCTTTTCCTAATTTCAGCTTGCTATGGAATTTTTAATGATAATATTTTCAATAATCTCCCTGTCAAAATGAGACTAACTTGGTCAAATGAGGTATTAATATCACAAACTGTGCTTCTCCAAAGTATTTAGCATGAGAAAGTATTTAATAGTTTCCCATAAGCTAGTCATCTTTGATATATTGGCTCTTGGATGCACTTGCTTGGAGGTATGGGAAGTGAAATCCAATTTATAGGGAGGGTGCTACTTTAGAAAAAGCTAGTTGGTTATTCAGATTCTTACCACAGCAAAATGTAGAAGATTATCTTCACCATATTCATTTTTTAGCCTCCTGAACAAGTTTACTACAGCTTTGCAAGGTCCACACCATGCCTGATAAATATCTACCACTGATAAAACATAGAGACATAACATAAATCCTTATTTTTTAAAATTAACAATTTCTTTGCTGGAACTCTCACCCATGCATAAAATGTGGATCTCAAATTAAAATAATACATTAATATTTCAAGAAAATAAAAATCATATATCAATAATGGACAGAAAGGATGCATTTGCAATTCCTCAAAGCTTATTCGAAGGATCAGCAAGTGCTTTAGGTTTAATAACATTCTTCTAATGAATGCAATTGTTTATTGCACATTTCCTCCTTAACATAAAGCAATGCATATTTTAGTGGAGATTAAAACTTTTCCTGCTTTATTATGTCCAGAATATCTTCTTTTTTAAGTGGATATGTCAGGATTTGTTGGACTAAATAATTCAACATATCTAGAGCTCGGATTTTAAAACTTTTTTAGTTTGCAGAACCTGGAAATTTAAAAAGAAAAAGAAAAAAGAAAGAGAAAATATATCCCCAGAAGGCCTGATCAAAAGACAAAATTCTAGTGAGAGAAAATTGGCTGAGGTTAATTGATTTAAATTTTATCTTATTTTTGCCTTTAGGTTGGGGTTTTTCAGCCTTCACAACTTTCTGATGTGTAATCTTCAACTCCCAGAATCTCCTACAATCATATCACTTGATTATTTTCTCCAAGATAAGAAATGAAAAAAAGATTAACAGATCTGATACATCTTGAGGTTGCTCTAGAATAGTATTTTTCAACTTTGGCAACTTTAAGATTTGTAGACTTTTAACTCCTGGAATTCCCAGCCAGCATGTTGGTTGGGGAATTCTGTGGTTGAAGTCCACATATCTTAAAGTTGCCAAGATCGATAAGCACTATCATAGAATCTCACAGAATTCTATCAAGTACTCTCTAGGATCTTGGCATTTTGTCTTATGCAATTAACCAACACCATCAGGTCTAAACTAGATTAGACACTGGCTGCTGCATAAGAGGTATAATGCTCAAATTAGACCTTAAATATATATATATATGTATCTAATCTGTTTAAAATTAAAATAACCAACTCCCGAAGATTGTAATAATGGTGGTAGTGGTGGGGACCTTATATTGTTCTCTCTTCTTGTTCTAGTTCTGTTAATAATTACCATATTTTTCGGTGTATAAGACGCACTTCCCCCCTCCAAAAAAGTGGGTGGAAATGTCTGTGAGTCTTATCCAGTGAATGTTGCTGAAGCCCAGCCCAGGGGTGAAATGCTACCAGTTTGAACCGGTTTGGGTGAACTGGTAGTGGCGGTGGTGCATGGTTTGGCGAACTGATAGCGGCAGCAGTGCAAAGCTCCACTCACCTACCCGGAAGTGGTTACTTCCTGGTTTTAACCAGAAAGTAACCCATTTTGACCCTCTGCGCATGAGCAGAAGGCTTTGCACATACACAGAGGGTCCAAAATCATATATGATGTGCTCATGAAGCACTCACTTCCAAACTGATAGGGAAGGTAAATAGATTTCACCCCTCACCCTGCCCACCCACCCGCCCCACCCTTTACCCCACCCCAGCAATTTACCTCCTTGCAGCAAACAGCAAACAGCCAACAGCCTGGTCAGCTTCAGCACAGCCTGATTTAGCACAAGCAGCTGATTGGCAGTTGGATCGGCCTCCCGAAATACCACCTATCAGCTGTTCAAGGCTGCAGGGATCGCTGCCACCCATTGCTGCCCATCACTGCTGCTGCCTATCGCCGCCTCTGCGTGCTCCATTTTTGGCCTCCCATTTTCGGCCTCCGTACATCCTGTTTTTGGCCCATTCCAGTTGGTGAGGACAGGCAGTAGCAGCAGCGATACCTGCTGCCTAGAATGGGCCAAAAATGGGACATGCAGAAGCCAAAAATGGAGTCTGCAGAGGTGGCGATAGGTGGCAGCAGTGATGGGTGGCAACAGCGGCAATGAGCGGTGGCGATCCCCACAGCCTGGAACAGATGATAGGCAGTATTCCAGGAGACCAATCCAACTGCCAATCAACTGCTTGTGCTAAATCAGGCTGTGCTGAAACTGACCAGGCTGGTTGCTGGTTGCTGAAAGGAGATAAATTGCTGGGAGGCAGAGGCAGATTCCCCCCCCTCCAATTGTTTTCCTCTCTAAAAGCTAGGTGTGTCTTATACTTCAGAGTGTCTTATAGTCCAAAGAATACAATAAATTTAGCCGATATGATCCAATAACGGTTTTTGAGATATTAGAAGCTATTAAAAAAATGAAGCCAGCCAAAGCCCTAAGCCCAGATGGTCTTACAAGCCAATACTATAGGTGTTTCGAAGATGAACTTCTTCAACCACTAAAAGACACAATGAATGATATACTACAGGGGAGGGAATATACCCCAGACGTGGAAAGAAGCCAATATCGTGTTGCTCCCAAAGGAGGGTCAAGATGTTACAAAGATAAAGAATTATAGACCAATTTCATCATTAAATAAAGACTATAAACTCTTTGCCACTATTCTGGCAGAAAGACTAAAGAAGATTTTACAGGTATTTATACATGAAGACCAAGCAGGCTTTCTGCCTAAAAGACAGCTAAGAGATAATGTGAGGACTGTCTTAAATATTATTGAATATTTACAATATCATAATGAAAAACAGGCTGCTTTAATTTTTTTGGATGCAGAGAAGGCCTTTGACAACCTGAATTGGGGCTTTATGTTTAAGGTGCTGGAAGAAATAGACTTTGGAGTGAATTTTATTCAAGGAATTAAAATGATCTACACGTCCAGAATGCAAAAATTGTCATAAATTGTGATTTGACTAATTCATGTAAAATTCAAAAGGGTATAGGACAAAGATGTGCCTTGTCCCCTCTGTTTTTATTTTGGTTTTGGAAGTCTTGAATAGAGATATCAGACAAAATGACAAAATAAGGAAGGGGCATGGTCAGCATCACAGCAACACAGCATGAAACTTTGGGGTTCCAAAAGATAGCGCTGATATCACAGCCATTTGGGGGTCCTTCGGGGTCATAGCTGTGTCGTAGGGATGGTGAAGAATGGAGACACAGGCTGGTATGAACAGGGAAATCACAAATTCACTGAAGTACTGGCAAATAGCCTCCGACTCAGCAGTTGGGAAGAGAGCTAGGAAGCTATCATAAACTGAGGCGGCCACATGGAATAAGAAAAGAAAGCAGCAAGGTGAAACATCTGGGTGAGAACAAATTGCTGTCTTGGAAATAAGATTCCTTTTGTAAAAAAATTTACTCCCTGACTTTAAAAAACTTTACTTGAGAGAGAACAGCAAAAGAGGAGAGGGGAGGGAGCAGATACAAGGCTATCTCCCTTCTTCCAGCAATAGCGGCAAAAATGTGGAAGCCATTAATGACAATAATTGACAAAGTTTGAAAACTGATTTTTAATTAATAGAAAGCAGATTGGGCAGAGTGGGGGTTTCTTTTTGCCAAGTTTGATGTATGACTGAACTTTGAAATCCTGAGATTTGTATCTGAAAAACTAAAAAATTGGACTGCATATAACAAGATAATTGGAATAATTGGGAGTAAATTGTAGTGCCATCTAGTGGTGCTAGAGAAAATTCAACAATTAAATTGAACAAAGAAGAAGATAAGAATGGAATGACCTTGAACAATGTTTTGAGAAGTCTGATAAGAAATGGTCTGGTGATTTTGTAGCAGAGAAGAAAAAAGGATGGCATCTAGATCCTAAAAAGCTAGCCTGTATGTATCCATGTGTGCAACCCAAGTGTTGGAGATGTGAATGTGATGATGCCACGTATTATCATATATGGTGGACATGTAAAAAAATTAAGGCATATTGGATAAAAATATGGTGGATTATTCAAAATATTCTCAAAAAGAAGATAAAATTTACTCCACAGTTCTTCTTGTTAAGTATAATTACAGATTGTACTGTTATAGAGACTAAGTTGATTTTAAATTTAATAACAGCAGCCAGACTTTTGGTGGCACAGTATTGGAAGAAAGAAGACTTGCCTACTATTGAAGAATGGACATTAAAAGTAGTGAACTTAGCAGAGATGGCCAAAATTTCAGCGTATTTGAAGGACCATTCAAATGAAAGATATACATCAGAATGGAGAAGATGGATTGACTATATTCAAAACAAATATCGGACTAAAAAGCTTCAAATAGCTTATGAATGAAATCAACTTTTTCTTTTTGAATTATGTTTTGTTAGTTGAAAGGGGAGTTAAACAGCAAGAGGGAATTAAGAGCCTACAGAAAGTTAGCATATTTTAGTTTATGTTTGTTAAATGTTACACCCTGTATTTGCTCTGGGAAGTCTGGGCTGGGGGGAGGGGGGTTGGAGGGAGAGGGGGGATGGGGGATAGGTGGTGGGTGGAGGAGGGAAGAGGGGGGAGGAGGGATGGGGAAAAATTGTTGTAATATTTGATAACACTTTTTTTTATTATTATTTTAAATTTTTATACCGCCCTTCTCCCTGAGGACTCAGGGCGGTGTACAGCCAGAATTAAAAAACATAAAATACAAATATTAAAAAACAATTAATATATATATAAATTTGGCCCAAAATTAAAAATACAAACCAATTAAAACATTTAAAATTTCTTCTTAAGCCAGCCCGGCTTGCTGGAAAAAGTGGGTTTTAAGGGCACGGCGGAAGGCACTAAGGTCTTGGATTCTCCTTATCTCTGGGGGCAACTGATTCCAGAGGGTAGGTGCCCCCACAGAGAAGGCCCTCCCCCTGGGGGTCACCAGCCTACATTGATTGGCTGATGGCACCCTGAGGAGGCCCTCTCTGTGGGAGCGCACGGGACGATGGGAGGTCGTCGGTAGCAGCAGGCGGTCTCGAAGATAGCTAGGCCCGATGCCATAGCACCTTTAAAGGTGATAACCAGCACCTTGAAGCGCACCTGGAAGACCACTGGGAGCCAGTGCAGCTCGCGCAGGAGCGGTGTTACATGGGAGCGCCATGCTGCTCCCGTCACTACCCGCGCTGCTGCATTCTGGACCAGTTGGAGCCTCTGGGTGCTCTTCAAGGGGAGCCCCATGTA